TGGAGGCAGATGATCTGCAACAGTGCAAAGCCAACCTGGGATGCATAGGGCTACATAAACCAGTCTGAATTATTGAGTAAGATCCTGTCTCACCCCTCCCCCCAAAAAGAAATAAAAGAAAAAGAAAAACGTGATATATAGTTATAAATTACATCATTCTAAAATTATAGGAAACTTAGAAACTAAGGTCTGCACTCAGGGTATATACAGTTCAACCGTTATAACAAGTGTTTCTAGAATAACTTTATTATTATTATTATTTTGGTACCAGGAATTGAACTGGGATCTTGTGCTTACCAGACAGGTGCTTGTACCAATGAAATACAACCCCAGCCCATAGAATAACTTAAAAAAATGAAAAATCTGAATATGAAGAAGGCTCCAAATAGTCTATGCAAAATGATTCAAGAAGCACAGAAGGCCCACTTTTTGTGAGACTCATTGTTAGGCTTCAAGAGGAAGAGATGGAAATTTGAAACCCTCCCCCTTCTGAGTTACTGAGAGTCTGAACAATAAGACTTTATTATCAGAAAAAAGTTCAATAATTATAGATTCCAATAGAAGTTCAGCACATCATAGGAGAGTGGGGGAAGGAAAATACAAGGGCAGTAGAGAAGGGTTTTGTTTCTTTCTGTTCTGGGTCCTGAAGAAAACAGAAACACAGAGAATATTCCTGCGCAATTTTTGGCACCCCACACATGCAAGAGTTTTTGCTCCTTGTATAGGAGGAAACTTAAGTTCAAAAAGAAGGGTTAGATAATTAATCACCGGGATTGCTGAGCTAGACAGATCCTAACAGTTACTAATATTTGAATACTTAATGTGCCAGGCACCTTTCAAAACAATTTACAGGTTTACTAATTGACCCCTCTTCTTTTTTTTCCCTCTCCATACTGACCCTCCAGCAGTGCTAACCTACATCTCCAGCCTTTATTTTATTTGGAGAAAGGGTCCCACTTAGTTGCCCATGCTGACCTTGACCTTGTGACCCTCTTGCCTGGGCCTCTTGAATAACTGGAATTATAGGGATGCACCACCTTTCTGTTTAGTTTTTTGAAACAACGTTTCACTATATAGTCCAGGCTGGCCTGGAATTTTCTTGGTGCCAGAAGGCTAAACCTCAGATTTGTGATCCTTCTGCTTCAGCCTCCCAAGTACTGGGACAACAGGTGTGCACTACCACGTCCAGCTCTCCTCTCATAGTCTATGGTACAAATACTGCTTTCTATTCTTTCTTTCTTTCTTTCTTTCTTTCTTTCTTTCTTTCTTTCTTTCTTTCTTTCTTTCTTTCTTTCTTTCTTTCCTTCCTTCCTTCCTTCCTTCCTTCCTTTCTTCCTTCCTTCCTTCCTTTCTTTTTTTCTTCGTTTCTTTCTTTTTTTGTGTGGAACCAGGGACTGAACTCAGGCCCTTGTGCTTGCCAGGGAAGCATTTATTTTACTGAGCTATCTTCTTTTACTGATAAGGAAAATGAAGCTTGGAGAGATAAAGTAGATTACCCAAGGGCACAGACCTAGAAAGTAGGGCTGGGCCTTGACTATAGGCAATCCAGACTTAAACACTGACTATCTTTAACTATGAAGAATTTCACATTCCTGTTGTTGGGATTCAGTTTCCAATTACAACTGGCAAAATACACCTAAAATAGGTGGGGGACTTGTGTGTTAGAGGTAGAAGTTACATATTTATTAGTGTAGTATTGTTTTTATCAAAACTGACCTTAGAGGGCCGGCCAAATAGCTGAGCAGATTAAAGCACCTGCTTAGGCAGACATAGCAGCAGGGATTCTATCCTGGGTGTGCTGTGCCAGCCCCACCCCTGGGGCATGCTGAGCCTTCGATTGAGACTGAGCATAGTGGCATGCACCTGTAATCCTAGCTCTTGGGAGGCTGAACAAAGGTGGATCACTACTAGTCCAATCTACATAGTGAGACCATGTAGACCTTGCAGACCTTTACTAAAATACAAAAATAAACAAACAAAAAACAAACCAAATAACCCCCATACACATACAAACCTGACCTTGGGCATCACCAGAGAAAGCCGTTTCTTGAGATGCTACCTAGAAATGAGTCACAGGGCCTCACACTATCTTGCTTGGGCTGAGTGAGCTAGAAGACACTGCTGTCCACCCACAGTAAGCCAGTCTACTTTCAAAGCCCAGGTCTTCCAATGACTGGTAGTCTGACGGTGGTCAAGTCTCACCCTTTCAGCCTAGTTTCTTTGGTGTCTCAGTTAGGGGTGACCATCACTTCATCAGCTCACAGGGATACAGGAATGAAATGGATTGAAATCAAGAAGTTGACAGCCATGGATAAATTGTGTACTGCAGCAATGTGTGGGGTGGCTCACTTGGTGTTGAAATGTACGGATGCTGTGCAGGCTCAAATTTCTCAAGTCCAGACTAGCTGGCGCACAGGTTGTTCTCAGGTTGCTCCAGAGAATTCTGGGTTGCAGGATGGCTCTAGACAAGCTGTCCCATCCTGGACACAGTCACATCATCAAGTAAGAAGCCTGAGGCCAACCTGTAGAAAGTCACACATATTATCCTTTTTTAAATTAATTCCCTCTCCATACTGGGGATTGAATTTATGGCTGCCCACGTGCTAGGCAAATACTCTTACCACTGAGCCATATCTCTACCATTTCTGATTTTATTTTTTGAGATAGGTTGGCTTCCAATTTACAACTCTCCTGCTTTAGTCTCGTAGAGTGTTGGGATTATAGATATGCACCACAACACTTTTAGCGACATATTTTTGTACCAGTTATGCAGTTTTGTTGCTTTTGTTTTTCTGCAGTAATAAGGATAAAACCCAGGGCCTCAAGCATGGTAGACAAATGTTCTACTACTGAGCCATACCTCTAGCTGTGCAATTCTGTTTCAAGGGACAGTTTTTTGTTTGTATGTGTTTGTTGGTCCTGAGTGCCGGGAGTCCAACCCAGTCCTTGTACATGTCTGACAGGTGCACTATCACTAAGGTGTACATTTCCAGCTCCAGTCCCTGGTGGGACTTATTTATGGGTTTTTTCCTTTGGGTTTGTTTGTTTGTTGAGATAGGATCTTACTGTGTTGGCCAGGGTGGCCTAAACTCACAGCTATCCTCCTGCCTGCCTCACCCTCCTCAAGTCCCAGGGTTTTACAGGCCTAGGTTGCTATATCAGGCTGTTTATTTTTGGAGGCAAGGTTAGACTCTGTAGGTTAGACTGGCTCTTGAACTCAGGATCCTGCTGCCTCAGCATTTTGAGGGCTGGGTTTATATCAGACATTTTTTGTTGTTGTTTTGTTTTAGTCTTTTTGAGATAGTGTCTCATTATGCAGCTCAGGCTGGCCTTGAGCTCACTTTGTAGCCCAGACTGGGCTCAAACTCACAGCAATTCTCCTGCCTCAGCCTCCCTAGGGCTGGCATTAGTCATGTGCCATCACACCCGACCCTTGACTGGCTTAGTAATGGCTATCTGGGCAGGGCGTGGCTATAGTAAGTATGTGGAGAGCTGGAAATGCTTATGCTGAGAAGTTTGTGCCCAGTGTGACGGGCAACAGGTAGCCACAGAAGGTAACTGAGCAGAACACAGCAGGCAGACAGGCAGAAATACAGGTTAGTTTCGCTTAATCTGGAACCAGTGTTTTGGATTTCAGATTTCAGAGCATCTCCCCTTGAAGATGGACTCATGCTTGAATATCAAAAAATTCATTTGTTTCCTTTTATACCTTAGCCTGATGGTAATTTTATACAATATTTTCAGTGCCTGTGTGATTTGACTTTGACCTAGGTCATGGAATTTTCTACTTGGGTGACATTGTAGCTCAAAAAGTGTCAGATTTGGAGGCGTTCTGGATTTTAGATTTTTTGGGTTAGGAATGCTAATCTTGTACAGAGCTCTTAAATGGTCTAGTTATTCATAGGTTAGGAAATGTACTGTAACTTTTCCAAAGGACTAGGCTAGCAAAACCCCCTTTTCCTTTTCCTCTCTATCCTCCATTCAAGGTTACTTTATTCAACACCCGAGGTCAAAGACTTGCTCAAATGATCTTCGAATACTTGGCACGCTGCACTGGAACACGGCCTCCCACTAATGTTTGCTGACTGACCACGTGTACGCTCCTCAGTCAGCCAATCTAGATTTCAGGAAGGCAGGACCTAAGCCAGCCTCCCCTTTACTTGCAAAGCTAACGGGCTGATCTTCCACTTACCCCTCGATCTGATTCCAGCCCTATCAATTGTGACTCCATCCCCCAGTGCTTCCCGCCCCGTAGCTCCCGTGTGACACGAGGCCTCCGGGCTTCCCGGCACAGGCGCCAGGCTTCAAACCTGTCTTTCACCCATTGTTCAGTTTCCGGTGAGTCAAGTTCAACCCCAGGTTCACCCACTACAAGGACGGCCACAAACACCCTACGCACACGCACACCTCGCTGGGAGGAGGCGCCCACCGCCCGGCAGCGGCCACCAGCCCCCCACGCTGGGCGCGGGGGGCGTTTCCCTCCCACGGGCTGAGCCCCTTTCGCTCGCCCGCCCCTCCGTGAGGCGGCGCCCAGCCTTCGGCGGGCGTGGCCGCCCTGGCCCGGCCCCCAG